TGGTGCGGAGAATGGCAAGGCTCACTGATGATGCCGACTACGATGCCGGCGAAACGTTTGAGAATGTATCTAGTCAACTGTCAGATGCTGGGAACCAAGACAACTACTATGGCAAACGACTTCGGACTTGGTAAGTTGTACATAGTTTCCCTGAACACAAGACCAAGTTGCGACAACGAGGTAAACCCACTTTTATCTTTTCTGAGTTAAAGGTATCATTCTTTCATTTTAATCTTTTGTATATTTCCGTTACAACTTTTTTTCGAGGGACATTGGTGTGCAACGGTTCTGTGTCAACGTTCTCCATACTTAAAAACGATTTTTTTAACTTTTTGCATTCTTGGTTGTACTTAGAAAGCAACTGTTTACTTGTGTTCTCATGTTAATTTATCGATTTTATGTGCAAATCCATGTTTTTGTCCTCTTAGTATAACAGGATTTTTGGACATCTTTGTACGGCTGAATATTTCGCTTCTTGAATTTGTACGTCCAGCCTAGTTCAATTTACCTCTTTTGAACATCCATAATATTCTTGGGTCGATTGGTTTGATATTTGTAACATACTTATAACTAATATCTTTTAAAATGAATTTTGATATAAGCTATCACTACCGTGGCCTCACTTTGCTATTCGCTTTTTGGCCGATTTTCATATAGTACTCTTATCTTCATTATTTTACTGGCGTGCTTGTAACACAATTTACTGGATATCTTAAATTTATATTTTACTTTTAAGGCCTCCAAATCATGTATAATTTTAACCATGACCTACATTCTCTTTTAATTCAACTTTTTTAAACTTGGGTTAGATGTGAAAGTTTATTAACTTACCTTTTGCGACCAGTTTTCATTAACCTAAAAAAATTTAAGGGCCTTTATATTTCATACAACAGCTCTGGACAAAATGTTGACTTTGCGCGATTTTATTCACTACATTCTGGTAATATTACTCCCGTACACTGCCGATCAAAATTGTGCTATTTTTTCTGCTTGCTATTTGGATGTGTTATTTAGATTCGATCTAGTTTTCCCTTATTGGTTTATATTAGTCACATATTATTATAGCATTAGCATTGACATTCCAAACTGTCTCGTCGGCAGTTTTATTGGCATATTAAGTAGGGAGCCATCTTATGCACCAAATGACAACAAATAGCCTAGAGAGTTCCAATTTATTTACCATTTGCTTATTCTATCTAATCCACCCTCAATCGCTTTACTCAGTGCTAACCTTAATTTTTATGCATTTTGGGTTACTCATAAAATTTCAAAATCTTCTCATATTTTCTTCAGAATATATTGGTATGAAAGGCTTAATAGAGTGCATTGATTGAGTTAACCTTGTCAAATAGTTTTATTTATTGTTTTATTCATTTATCACTTTTATTTTTGCTTAGTTTTTTATCATATGTTTTGCCTATTCATTCTTTGTTCGTTCAATTATATCCAATTTTGCTTTACGACCGTCACGAAATTAAATCAAATGTCAGATTCCTGCTTTAACGAATCAGTCAGCAGTCCTCCACCATCGCCACAACCCCATAAGGCTTGTCAGCTTTGCTTGCGTCGCTTCCTTTCTGGTCGCCCTATCTTTGAGGCTAAACCAGCTGGTCGTAAGACCTCTGGCGCAAATCCTGCTTTCTTCATCACCTCTCCTATGCGCATAACTACAGGGACTCCATTTCTTAACACCTTTTCGCCTTCGCCACCTCCACCTTCATCGCGTCTGCATCCGCCTTCATCGACTCAGTCATCGTCATCCAGACTTCAACAACAGACTTCTATGTTGGGTCACGCTAGACATTCCGCCTTCCCGACATGTTCTCATTGGCCTCCGCCAAGCCGACAACCGCACAGTCCCCTTTGCCATCCAAATAATGAATCAACATTTCTGCCAAGCACTCCCCCGCTAACTTCTGTAAGCTGGCCTCTAGCTAGATAGACATCAAAATTGTTTTCCCCTTTACATCTAGGAATACATAATTTCAAGATACTACCATGCATCTTTTAATTTCAT